CTTCGCTGGGTTTTTATTTGTGGGCAAAAAGTAACGATAGTGAAGATTAAGATAATTACATTATAGCCAATCTTACCCGTTTTCACAGAATGCAAGAATTAGGTCCCCCATTTCCAGACTAATTAGAAAATTTTTACGTCCAGTCAAACGAACTATTTTCAATTTGATCAATTTTCTGGAACGTTTACAATCGTTCTATAACCGAACCAATTCGAATACGAATTCGAAAATTTTTAAAATCGAAATAGAAAATCTTCCACTTGTAACCACTTTCAAGCCCATATCTCCCGCACCCTTATAGCAACCACCATAGTGCACGAATGGAGACTTGGAACTACTACCACATACAAACACCATTCATGTGCGATGTGTAGTTTTGGCTGAAAAGTGAACTTTCAGTTCATAGGGACACACACGTCCATTTTTATATATAGATATAGATATAATTATTATAAAATGGCAAAAAAACTTAATTCTGAGGGTAGTGATAAGTTTTATATATATTATATATATATACTACTGTATATAAAAGAAAATAAAAATGTAAATGCTAATAACGAGTAAAATCTTTATTAAGTCCGATCCCTTTTGAGACCTTCCTATTTTCCTATTGATTCTATTAAATTTTGGTGATTCTTCAGCCATCAAAATTTATTAGGATTAATGTCTCCTATTGTGTCAAATTTCGTTTCTTAATCTCTTCCCCATTTTCAAATATTAAATGAAATAGACGCCAACACACACAGGCATTCAGACATTAAGTTTTTCCTTCTCGTTTTTTTTCTTTTTTACTTTTTTGGGTTCAGGAGATCTGAAAATGTGGAGATTTGCAAAAAAACCGGAGGGTCAAATTTAACACGCTTTCAATACTTTCCTTTGTTATATACGTATATATAACAGCCGGGAAAGTCAATAATTAATAATTCGATATGATTAATTTATATCCAATAACAACGTGGTTATATTTAAAGGATAATCACACCACAGATCTTATTTTCCATTGTAGCTACTACATACCCAGTGGCGTAGCTAAGGGGCGGGAGCGGGTGTCACCCGTTTAGGGGTGACACCCGACCGTGAAAGAAATAAAAACTTAAACAAACCTTCACAATGTTTTTCAACGATAAATCACTTAGGCTTGAAGCCATTTTAACCAAGTTATCTATATTAAATAATTTAATTTTACAGAATCTCTTCCGAATCTTATGGTCGCACTAAAGTTATTTCTGACAATTTGTGTATCAGATGCTTCGTGTGAAAGGACTTTCAGCAAACTAAAATTAATTAAAATTTACTTGCAGTCAACAATGTCCCAAATGAGACTTAACAATCTTGGCATATTAACAATAGAACAGGTGTCAACACAAAATATAAATTCTGAAGATGTGATTTCCGAGTTTGCAGCTGTTAAAGCTAGAAAGACGAGCTTTTAAGTGTTTGTACTGTACATGTATATGAGAGTATATTAATTCTACTCTCATTCTTCTTTTGCCATACCCAACTTTCACTTTCAATGTGAAAGAATGTTTAATAAAACTGTACTATTATTATCGTAATATTAAGTTGATAATTAAAGACTCTTATTTGTATTAATTAAATAAAGCCATACTTTACTTTTATCGAATTTTTATTAACTTTAACAGTTTTCATTTTTGGGGTGACACCACGATATCTGCACCGGGTGCCACCCATGCTAGCTATGCCACTGCGTTCTAATGGTCTATGTTCTATTCCAATCAGAAACCTCAGAAATGTTTCATGGGGCTCATGACATCTCGGGCCCAGTCCTCATCCAGCTATCCCTTGTGTGGGCCTAGTCGAAACTATAACGGCCATGAATTGAATTAGATAGAATTAATGAAGTAAAGCAGCGGTTCCAAAATATTTTTTTTTTGCTCCGAAAGTGAGATATGAGTAAACCACATGTGAGTTTGGGAACCACTGTCTTACTTCATCAATTCAATCCAGTTTAAGCTATGCCCATTGTAGTTTCGACTAGGCCCATACTAAACTAGTATTCTTCTTTAATAACAATCCAAAATGTATCAAGGAATAACTCATCATGCTTGATTTTAAGTTCACGATTACTGTATATAGATGCCAATTTTTCTTCGTACAATTTCAGACCATTATTACTTTTATATATAAAATTTCTATGAAGGGTTCACGAATCCAATTAACATTTCTGTTTTCACTGACAGAAAATAAAAGTTAATTTTTTCTTCCGGAGTTGTTAAATATTCAAATACAATAGGATCCATTTGTTTTATACAGTATTGAGAGGAACATTTCGAAGTTACCATATTTAGCTTTATTTTTGCAAATTACAACTTTCTTTTTAAATAAAACTAACTTGAAGTTGTTTGTTGTCCGNAACTGTAAAAGCTTATCTGAGGCATTAGACAAAGTCAAAAACAGTCTACAACAACAAACTAATATATCGTCATGGTCAACAACAGAATAGTTTGAGGCTAACGCTTTATCCTTTAGTCGTATGACTAATAAAACGTCTGTGATTATAAAAGCCACAACAGAAATACAGTCAATTACAATAGGTATAACACTATAGTCATATCCAAAAAATAAGCGTAATATTAATTTGGCCTATATCTCAGAATCTACCGATCAGAATAGCATGAAATTTAATTAACATACAAGCAGAATATGGTATTATTTATGCAACGAAACAATTAAAATGCAAAAATTTTATCTAAATTACGCTCAGTGGCGTAGCTGGGAGCACCCCTAAACGGGTGACACCCGACCGTGAAAAAAATAAAAACTTAAACAAACCATCACAATGTTTTTCAACGATAAATCACTTAGGCTTGAAGCCATTTTAACCAATTTATCTATATTAAATAATTTAATTTATTAATTGTGATAATTTATAAATGCACGTAAGCTACGAAACAGTTTGCAGCTGTAAAAGCTAGAAAAGAAGAGCTTTTAAGTGTTTGTACAGGTATATATCTGAGGCGCCGCTAACTGTTTGAACGCCCGTGTGCAATACCGATTATGCCACCCCCTGTTTAACTACCACTACCCACGCTGAGCTTGCTAGAAAGGCTCTTTAGTGTTGTCTCATAAGGATGTGAAAAAAAAGAAATACTATTTATTATTACTAAGTTATTTTTGTTTACTTAAGTGTAAAACCATATAAATGTTTATCTACAGAAATTGAACTCTTCTTGCCTTTATGTTTGCGAAATCTGATATCAATTAATTAACTTGTAGCCAAGCTGGCTAAGATTTCATGTTCAATTGAAACTATAGCTAAATTACTTAGTCTTTGCTGGTGCATTGTTGATCTTAAATAGTTTTTTTTTTTTGTAATTTTTAACTTTGAAAAGGACCTTTCACCAAATTCAACTGAAACCGGCAATGTAAGTAATATTCTTAGTGCTATTGCTGTGTTCGGAAATATTGAAATTAAGTCATTAGTAAAAAGATATTGTAATAGGGTTTGTGGATCATTAGAATGGTTTTCTGGAAAATGCAACTTTAAAGTATTTATTTCATTAAACAAATCAATATCGTCAATGTCTGTTTCACTACTTGAATCGTCTTTAAGCTTCAGATTTAAATCCTAACCAAGTTAAAATACAGTATCATTAATTATACTTAGACTCGTGTCAGAAGAATTATTAACAAAATAATTGCAATTTGATATGCGATAGAATTGTTCGAATGCGTACAACTACAAATTGAGAAGGAAGGTCTGTGGGGATTCCCTATTTTCGCCAGTCTTGTCAACTTCTGTCATAGTGCACGACTATGGTTACTTGGCTTTCGGGCGCCGCCGGATGGTTCAACCTGCCGACAGACGTTTCGCATTGCATCTTAATTCTGATAAATGCCAATAGAGGCGCTGTTAACGCTATAATATGAATAAGAATATAGTAATTGCGTGCCGGTCGGATTTTTTTTCTCCATGCGAAGACATTTCTTATGCTATAAGTAGAATGGGTATTATGACAATGACTTTAAATATTACGTGACCAATGGCCCGCGTGCTGTGCACGCCCGCATAATATGTACATGAGATTACATTAATTCTACTCTCATTCTTCTCTTGCCATATCCAACTTTTACTTTCATACATCAATGTGAAAGAATGTTTAATAAAACTGTATTATTATTATTATTATTATTATTTTAACTCTTTCTGCCATGTGGGCACTAAGAGGGCCTCTTTTTGCAAGCCCATTATGGATTCGGCCAGACCCACAATGGGGCTGCAGGGTGATGAGGGACGGGGCCGGACATACCCGGACGGACCGCTGGATTTTTCGACCAGTCCGGATTCCGATTCTTGGTCTTCCAGAGCGGTAGGCTGCCACATTGACCGCTCGACCATTCGGCCGTCACTTAATGCTGGGTACGTAGTAGCTACTTTGGAAATCAATTTTTATCACAATGCTATCTCACACAGTTCCCGGTTTTTGGTTTTCAACTTACGGCAACCTTATAATCAGATATTATTGCATATTACTTATACGAATTTCGTATTGCCAGTTCATTAATAAAAATATTTAGCATAAAATTTATAAAAGTCCATTAAAAGGTGTATTTAATTCAGTTATTCATGCTTATTATTATATGCTTTTTATTTTAATAATAAAACTAAAATATATGTATTTTTTAATTAAAAGTAATACATTGCGGCGTTCGGCGGCAACATTGCAACTGACCACCATCCCCAACCGGCTCGACGTGCTTCGCTTTGGATGTCCGTCTTGAGTGCTCCGACTTTTGTCTTCACGATCGACGTTGTTATAGCCTTGTGTATATAGAGTTATAATTGTCTGCAAATAAACTAGTGATAACGGCCTTTAGACTTTCTTCGATCATAGAATATATAACTCGATGCTACGACAATTCCGTTCGTGGATGCGATCGGATTGACATATCTGACTTCGACTATTGAGAGGAACCATTAATGGTCACCTCAACATGATAAATCACAATTTGTAATTCATTTATTTGGATTAACCCAAATCGGAAAGTTAAAAAAAGTTGTCGTACACTGCAAAATATTTGAGATTTGTCCTTTATAAAAAAAAAGTTATATGAAAATTTGTACGGAAAATACGTTTTAATGGTGTCTCGGCGCGATTCCATGGGTGCGTTTATTTTTAGCTTTTCCTTTCAATATTTTTGGCTATTTCATTCATTGCTTGTTGTATATTTTTTAAAATATGCAACTTTTCATCTTCTGTTCTATTAAGGCTTTCTGCCATACATTCCCCAACAGATTTTTCATGTTTCCTTTTTTTTCCTGGTCATAAATTTTTTAAAATTATTTTTTATCTGTTAAATATTTAATATTGCAAAATAATATATCCACTTACTGTTAACATTTCTTAATGAAGTATTCAAATGTAGACCATCAGTTGGGTTACAATCAGCATTTGGAGGCAGTTCGAAATATGTATTTTGATTAGATGGATATTCTTCATTTATACAAGTAGAATTATTTGATTGTACACAAGAAATAGTATTGTCAATCATACAGTTTAATAAGTCTTGTGCACTTTCACTCAACTCTTGTGCACCATTTGGTTCCTATAATACATACAATTCCTATAATTACTGTAGTTTAATAAGCATGTTTTAATTTCAATATGATTTTTATTACCTGAACTCCTGCCTCATCAATTTGGGATTCTCCGTAAACAGCAGTTATACCAATTAAATTTAAAACTCTCTCTTCAACTTCAGTTAATTTTTGATTAAGTGAAGGCCCACCTCCTGTTTGAAATGATGATTTTTTTATTTGTGAGGCTTTACTTTTAATGTTTGCCTTCCAGTCACTCCAAGTCTATGCAAATAATGTTTATATTTAATAATATGTATTGCATTTGACATTTAATCATAATACTAATTCTAATTTGGTTATAAGGTTTATAGCAGCAGAAATTGTGGAAAAATTAAGTTTGTCATTTTATTCTTAATGAGTGAACTAAAAAATATATTAATTACATGAAATTACAGAAATATACAAAGAAACTTAGACATACTTTGTATAATTATAAAATGTTAGCAGAATGTAATAATAGAAATCTTTATTTTGTAGATTTTATCTAAGTTTAAAT